CCCCCGTTCCCAGCTCGCTCCCAGGTGCTAAGGTGTGGCCGGGGTATCCCCCTTTCCCAGGCTTCTTCCCAGGGTCGGGGGTGTCCCCTCTTCCCAGGCTCCGATCCCAGGACTAGTAGGTGACTGGGCTATCCCCCTTTCCCAGGCTCTTTCCCAGGGTTAAGGGGTGACGGGTATCCCCCTTTCCCAGGCTCTTTCCCAGGGTTAAGGGGTGACGGGTATCCCCCTTTCCCAGGCTCTTTCCCAGAGTTAAGGGGTGACCGGGGTGTCCCTCGTTCCCAGGCTCCTTCCCAGGGTTAAGGGGTGACCAGGCTATCCGCCATTCCCAGGCTCCCACTAGCCATCCCTGGGACCCCTTAGAAGGCCAAGGTGGGTGCGGGGAGGGGAAATGGGGCACGGGCCAGAGGCAGTGGCTAGCCCGCGGTGCTGCCGCAGGACCAGGAGCTGGGTCTGGGTCTCCTGCCTCCCCCGGTGCTGTAGGACAGAACCCGCTGTGTTACGGGCAGGCTTTGCTGGATGCCGTGACACTTCCCCCACGCGGCAAGTGGGCTGTCGCAATCCAGCAGCCTTGGAGCTGGGGTCCGGCAACGTGCCTTCACTTTGGCTACAGCAGGCACCCCAAGCTGAGACGCAATACTGGGCCGTGGCCCCAACTCTGGTTCCCACAAACACCCCGGGTGCTTCGGGGCAGCTGCCAGCCCACGCCAGGCCTCCCCAGCAGAGCAGCTTGGTGACTTTTGGAGGGTCTCTCGCTGATGGCTGCATTTTCCCTGGTGGCCAGGCTGCTCTCCGCAGCTGGGTCAGGATCATTGCAGCCAGCCCTGAAATGCAGCCACCTCTGAAGCAGAACGTGGCATCTGTCTCGCTCGCAGCGGCGGCGCGGTGCGGTGCGGGGGGTTGCTGCGGCGCGCTAGGATTCCAGCAGAGCTGGTCTAGGGAGGCAGAAAGTAATTACCCCCGCTTGGACGGCAGCCAGGACTCGGGGATTACAATGCCCTCCTCTTGCAAAGAGAAAAAGAAACCCCCATGGGATCTTGCAGCGACTAAAAGGAGCACAAGGCTCCAGGCCCACACCTCCACCCGGCACGGCCCGTGTCAGCACAGCGCCCAGGGTGGAGCTGGTGCAGAGCAGTGCCCCCCCGGGACTTGCCCACAGCGAGCGGGGCTGCGGGTGAGCAGCCACGGAGAGAATGGGCTGGGGGTTCACCCGGGGAGGTGGCCGGCTGCAAAGACAGGCCTGCTAATTAGCTGGCACACTCCGGTTTTAATTTGGTTAGGAAAACCTTGTTCGGAACAAATCAGCTGCGAGCCCTGTGGGAACGGGCAAGGTGAAGGATGGCAGCTCGTTCTGCATCCTGCTGACCCGTTAATAATTAACTGAGAATCAACGACGAGGGAAGGGGGTGAGCGGGGAAGAGGTCCCTCCGTGGCATCACCTTCCACGTTGCCTTGGGGCTCTGCTCTGGCCTTGGCGGCAGGGGCTGGGATTTTCCCACGGGCCGTGTGACCTTGCACGTCTCCCTGCCCCCTCCCTGTGCTTCCGCCGCTCTGCCGCAGGGAGGTGGGCATTGGGCAGTGCCCGGCATGGCAGGCCCTGCATGGCAGCCAGGGCCTCTAGCGCTGCTGGAGCAGAAGCAGACAGTGCACGGCTGAGCTGGCCGGCCGAGGGGAGGGTCAGGCTTGAAGGGCACAGGAAGAGAGGAACTTGCACAGCCCTCCCTGCCAGCGCCCTTGGCTTTCACAACCTCCGTGCAAAGGCAGGCCCAGGCTGCAGCCAGCGCCCGGCTGAGCAATGGCTCCGAGCAGGAATAAAAGCTCCTTTTAACCAGACACCTGCTCGGGCAGAGGGGAGCCTCTGCACTGCCTGCAAGCTACAGCGCTGAGCAGGCCGCGCCGGGCTTAAGGTGGAGATGTTAAGGTAGCCTCCAGCCTGCTGGGGCTGGGGAGCCGGGCAGAGCCGGCCTCGCTGCGCTGTCCCGAATTGTTAGTGGGGCAAGGTGCCCAGCCGGGCCCTGGCCATGGAGAAGCGGTGCAGGTGGGTGCCACGTTAGTGCCCACCCTGGGCAGGGGGGAGCCCACAGAGAGTGCAAGAGCCGCCTGATCCTGCAGGGCTGGACCGCCTCTGCAAAGCAAGAAAGCCCCAAAACCCAGAGGGACATCTTTTTGCTTGCCAAGGGCAAGATGGCCACGTTCGGGCGGGTTGGGGAGAGGGGGGTTTTGGGGAGCAGGCTCTAGCCTCCGCGCTGGCAGGGCTGGGATGGCGGGAGCAGGCAGCTCCTTCTCCATGCTGCCGTCAGCATGATTTATGGGCCAGTCCCCGAGTTCCCACCGCCCCCCCTCCCAAAAATAATAATCCTGGAACAAAGGAGGAAATCAGATCTTCCCCGCGCCCCCCGCCCTGTTTGTTTTGACATCGGTGTCCAGTTGGCGAGGGCGGCTGCTCTGCGGAGGCATTCCTCTCCCCGCGGCTCCCGGCAGCACAAAGGGGCTGCTCGGCGGCTCGGGCTGCCACAGGGGGATGGGAGAGGGGGGCTTTTGTTGTTCTTGTTGTTGTTTTGTTCAGGCCTTCGGGGCAGATGCCGCGGCATCGCATTCCTCGGGGCGCGGAGGCATGCTGCGGGCAAGGACAGTAGCCGGGGAGAGCGGGCATGCCAGCCACCCGGGATCTCCACCAGCGGGTTGCTCCCCCTTGCTCCAGACCCACAAAGGTGCCCCCCCAATAAAATGAGCAGCTTGTGAGCGGACAAGGCCTGGCAAGCAGGCCAAGGGGGAGGAGGTCAGAGGTGCAAAGCTCTAGCACAGAGATGCCTAAGGGCGTGAAGCACCTGGAGTCCTGCCTGCACGGGCCAGAGAACAGGACAGACCAGTTCCTGCCTGCAGCACGGGCCCAGCCCCAGCCAGGCGCTGGGGCACGATCCTGAGCTGTGGGTTCCCCAGGCCAACCGATTCCTCCCCAAAAAGCAACGCTGCCCTGCCAGCGTTTTGCAAACTGCCTCCTTCCCCCAGGACCGATCCTTGCTCCCCCCAGGCTGCGTGCTGGGCAGGGGTCTCCCTGGAGAGCTGCAGGTTGCCTGCAAGATGCGGCCACCTCTGGGGTGGGACACAACCAGCAGCATGGCAGAACAATGGGACAGGGCCAGCAGGGCCTTGCTCCCCCCTGGGGCTGTGTGCTGGGCAGGGGTCTCCCTGGAGAGCTGTGGCTTGCCTGCGCTGGGGTAGGGGGGTGTATGGGGAGGCGGTGTTGCTTGCTCCCTGCTCAGACATTTGGAGCTGTGGGAAATGAAAGGGGCCTGGGCTTCGCTCCCAGGGCTGTTCTGCCCTCGGGAGCGGGAGGGGAGGTAGTTGCTGGGCTGTGACGGAGAGGACACCAGCGGTTTTGGGCTCAGGTTTCCAGTGCCCTGCCCCTGGGGCCCTTGCTCAGCCAAGGCCAAAGAAGCAGCAGGAGGATAGGGAGGGAGAGGGGAAGGGCTGTGATCTGTGCCCCCTTGGCACCGGCATCACTCAGACCCCGTCTCACACACGTGGGGACACGCACACCCACACACAGCTCGTGCATGGTGTGGGTGTCCATACTCATGCACAGCCCCCCCATGTATGCATGCATACACGTGCACACGCGTGTGTGCACACGCATGCATGCCCTAAGGGTTCTCCTGGGGGGATGGACCCAGCTCCTGCTCCATGGCCCTTGCAGCTGGTGTTGGTAGGTACATGCCCCACAAAGGGGTTTTCCCTGCCGGGGGTTCATGCCCTGTGGCGGGGGTGCCCTGGCAGCGCCCCTTCGGGGAGTCCTGGGTCTGGGGAGGGGAGCGGGGAAGTGCTTGACATTCCCTGGCTGCCCTGCAGCAAATCAGTCCCCGCCTGGCAACTCCCACCCTCCCTGCAGGGAGCGGCTTGACGGGGTCACCCTGCCCTGCTCCGCGCTGGCCGAGGGGCAGCCGACCTGTCGCCGAGACGGATGTTTTATGGCGACCCCCGGGGAACGTGCAGCTGCTCCCTACCCTGCTGCCAGGGGGGCAGGGGAAGAAGCGGGCCCTGTTTGCAGCATGGCGGGGCCATTCCTTGCCCCTGCCCCGGGTCTGCTTGCTCCTGGCACTCTGCGGTGTCTGTGCTCATGGGAAGTCCCCCCAACCCTTGCTTGGCTTCCTGGGGGGGCTCCCGAGCACAAACACTAGGCACCTCCGGCGGGTCGTGACTCGGACCCAGCCGCCCCTGCATCCCGGCCTCTCCCGGGGCCCTGAGTTCGAGTTACGCTTCCAAGCCCAGCGGTCTCGTGGGCTGGGGGTGGGGGGCAGGATGCTCTGGGAAGGGTCTCCTAGCCCCTGTCATGTCTCTGGCCCCCACCCCCTCCCCCTGGAGCCGTGGCCTCTGCCCTCCCCATCCCGTGCGCCCGCCTTAACATTTGACCTTGCCGGGCGGAAGCGCAGCCACAGCCGCGGGAGAGGGGGGCCGTGCTCCGGGCCCCACGTTGCCATGAGACATCTGCCAGGCGCGGGCGCGTCCCAGGCTGCCCGGAGCCGGAGCCAACAGGAATCGCATTCCTCAGCCAGGGCAGGGCCCGTGACCTTCCCCGCCAGGCTGCAGCCTTGCCCTGCCCCCCGCACATGCATGCACACGCAGGCATGCTCCCAGCCTGTGGAGGGGCGCACACGGGTGCAGGGAGCAGGCCGCCACGTACACGGGCATGCATGTTCCGAGCAGAACGTGGGCATTCATGTGCCCAGCTGTACCTGGGACACGCACACCCACGCTGTGTCACCACCTTGCACACCGCCCCGCAGGCTTGGATGCACACAGAGAAGCAGGGTGCACACGCGTGCACACGCAGTCTCTCTCCCCTTCTGGCCTCTGGTGCTGTGCCTGCTGCCCCAGCTTGCCCTGCCCGGGGCCCAGGCGGAGCTGTGCCTGGTGCCCGGTGTTACCAAGGACGAGATGCTGCCTCAAAGCTTGCAGCTGCTGCCAGGGCAGCACTCTCCTGGGTGTGACCTCCACCCCACCCCGGGCGTGCAAACGGCCCAGGACACGTCAGTGCTCTTTGCCCTGGGAGGTATGCCCGGTCTCTCTGCTGCTTTGGCCCCGCAGCCAGCTGGGTCCCTGGAGGGCAGAGGCCCTGCTGGGGGATGGCTGAAGGGGTCTGGCTGGTCCAGCGGGCAGGGGCAGGGCTTGGGGGTAGACCTGGGTGAGGCTCAGGAAGGAGAGGTTGGTGACCCGGGCCTCGTGGGCCAGCTCAGACACCCGCCAAGCCCAGCATGGCCCCTGCTGGCCCTGCCCCATTGCTCCGCCATGCCGCTGGTTGTGTCCCACCCCAGAGGTGGCTGCATCTCAGTGCCGGCAGCCATTCCTGCAGGGTGACAAACTTCCCCCAGGGTTTGGGTGGGGGGGTGGCTCACGGGAGGGCAAGGGGCTGTTCCGCCCTGCCGCCCCTCCTGCCCCCCCGCCGGGAGGCCAGGGGCCGGGGGCGGCTGGGAGCCGCATCAGCCGCCCCGGCCCTTTCATCGCGCTCTCGGTGAAGCTTGACCCCGGCTCGCCGCGCTCGGGGGCCCCATTTGAATCTGAAAGGGGGCCTGAGCGCAGAGCCCTGACCTTCAACCTGCAGGTCAGCCCTGCCACGGCTGTCGCAGGAGGGGGGGCATCCCCTGGGAAACCTCCACCTGGGGAGGCGGGGACGGGGGAGAGAAAAGAAAGGGCCAACACGGGGGCAGGGGAGGGGGCTGGCGGCACAGACAATGGGTCAGGCCATGCGCTGGGGCCGCGGGCTGCTGCATATGCATGCCCCGCTGCAGCCCGCAGGGGCCCCTGCGCAGGACCCGCTCCTCGCAGGCACGCCGAGGCCTGTGGCCCAGCCAGGACCCCTCGTACACGGGCACCCACCCACCCCACCGGGTCAGCTGGGGGCTTGTCCTGCCCCACAGCACACGATCAGCCCCCTGCATGCCCCTTCCTGTGTCTCTATATCAAAGGCTCGGGCTCCTGGCCAGCTGCCCCCTGACCCTGGCACTGACCCCTCAACTGCCGGGTCTTTGGTGCTGGGAGAAGGATGTGCACCCGGCTGGGGAGATGCCCCCAGCCTGGCTCCAGGGCTCTGAGCAAGGGCAACCCCAGGGGGGTCCAGGGAGTTGGCTTTTCTGTGGGAGATGAAGCACCAACAATCCCCACCCCCCAGCTCTGGCCCTGGGCTTAGGGTGTCCTAGGCATGCACGGGTAGGCACATACACGCGTGCACACACACACACACACACACACACACACACACACACACACACACACACACACATGCAAAGCGTGCACGCACTGGCACGCAGGCCTCCCCCCACCCTGCTCTCAGCACCATTGCCCCACCGCCCTGCAGCAGGGTCCCTGCCTGTCTGCTCATGAATATGCATGGCGCCCTCCTGCCACGGTCACCTTTGATCCCACTGTCAGGGGGAAAAATGTCTTCATCTGCGCCCATGAGATACGGGGCGGAGGGGGGCGGCCGTGGGGGGACGGTCTTTGTTCTCAGTGCATGAGCCTTGCTCTCAGGTCCCCCCAACATGGGGGCAGCCGCGCAAGGTTGGCGGGGTGCCGGGGGGGGTCGTGTTTCCTGCCGTCCAACCCATGTCACCACTGCAGGAGCAGCTCCGTGGAGCCGGTGACGGGGTGGGGGGGGGAAGGGGGCAGCTGCAGTGACCGCCCTGACCCATCTCTCCACGGGCAGCAGCGCCGGGGCGGTGGCTGGGAGCCAGCCCATGCAGCGGGGCCTGCCCGGCATCTGCTGCGTCTCCCGCAAGGCCCCTGGGACCGTCTGGGCCGCTGGGCTCAGCTGGCTTCCTCGCAGCCACAGCCCCCCTGCATCTGGGGCGGAGAAGATGCAGACGCCGCACCTTTGTGTGCCCAGACCCGTTTGCAGCGAGGCCCTCCCCTGACCCACGGCTGGCACCCCACATCTGGGGAGGGTATATGCAGCACCTGCCCTGGGCAGAGACCTCCCCTCTGCAGCCTGGGTGCAAGGAGCCGATGCCCCACTGCCCCTTAGGGTAGGGGAGTCTGCAGGCGTCTACCCCGGGCCCCTGGGCCTGGCCGTGCTCCAAGGGGGATCGCGGTGCCCCTGGCACATGGCCTGCGGCGTCCAACTGCATTAGGAGGAAGCAAAGGGACCCGAGCAGCCTTCCAGCACGGCTTTACTCTCCAGCCTGGTGCCTGGAGTCTGCGGGGATCAGCAGCTGCAGCACTGAGGAGCAGGGCCGTGGGGTAGGATTTCTATGCCGAAAACTCAACGCCTCGGGGACCCCTGCCCCAGTCACGGAGGAGGCAGTGGCCCCGTGGCCATGCAGAGGCCCCCCCAGCCTAGATGCAGGTCTCGGTGCCGGCCGCGCGCTGCTCCTCCAGAGCCTGGATGCGCTGGGCGAGCGCGTGCTCCTGCTGTGCCTGCCGCTCGCCCATGGCACCCATCTGCGCTTCCAGGCGCCGCAGCTGGGCCTCCTGCTTCCTGCGGGCGCCCCGGTAGGCCAGCACCAGCGCACTGCGGGGAGAGGGGGCACAGCGGGGTGGGGGTCAGGACAGCTGGGTCCAGTCTCCTAGCTGCCCCCGTCTCCCAGGGACCCTGGAGAGCTGCCCCAGGCACGGAGAGGTGCAGGTGGGGATGCCCTCCCTCAGTTCCCCCCCAGCGGGCAGAGGCGGCTGCAGCCGGAGGGGTGAGGAGGAGGCGATGACGCAGTGCTCCCCACCTGTGCGCCTGGAAGAAGTCTCCGGCGAGGCCGGTGCACTGGGCCTGCTGCGCCCGGCTGGCCGCGCTGAGCTGCTCCAGGGAGGCTGCCAGCACCCGGGCTTGGTCCTGCAGCGCCTTGCTCCTGCCAGGTGACCCAGAGGGTGGCACCGATCCTGCTGGGAAGAGCCCCCTCCTGCCCCTTATCCCTCCTGCTTCCCAGCCCATGCCCAAGACCCGCCTTGCTCAGCTGCCCTGGCAGTGCCCAGCATAGCCGTGCTGCAGGGGCTCGGACAAGGGGTGGCAGGCCTGGTGCTGCTAAGGACCCTGGGGTGGCATTAGCAAATGGGGGGGGGG